AAATATTTTGAAGAAACTGAAAATATACTCTTTAACACCCCTAAAACGAGTTTAACGCCCCTGGAAAGGTAGGACATCACACCTTTGTTTTTCCAGTGCAAATAGCAAAAGTTTTGCTCAGTGTCCGACAATCCTTTTCTTGCTGTTACCAAATCATGAGCAGGAAATTCAATTTGCAGGTATGGATGGTAACAGCAAAAAAAAAAAAAAAAGGTTGACAGGTACAGCAGAAATGGTTTCAACCAACATTTTGCTGGAGAAGAAAAATTGTTTGCTAAATTTACCAACCCCCAATTCTGTTCACTGTCGTACATTTTTCATGGAAGATGTCGTACAATTTTATTTCAGCAAAATTTACAAGCACTGCGCATCGCCTTGATTGGAATTGAATAACGAGCAAAGGGAGGTTGTACGTATGCAACTTGTATTGTAAATGGCAAATTACATTTGCGAATTACATCATTAATGGACAAACAGATATTTTACAGTCACCCCTGAGCGGAAGGTCCACCCTGTCCGCTCGAAAAGATGAGGCTGCAGTGCCCCGCCGGCTGCCTGGCGGAGACCGCCTGACCATCACAGAATCGCAAAATTGTTGTTGTTATTACTATAGTAAAACTAAATTGTGATAAAGAAGACCTCTGGGAATATTGTAAGATAATCTCCGTGAAATCCCAACAAGTTTTTAACAAGTGCAACCTATAACCCACCAATAAATGTAATTCACCCACACATCACAACCTACCCGGAGATGTTTTCCAAATCATTCGAGGCGGGGCCCGTCGAATGGCATCAGTAAATCTGCAACAGGCAAAACAAAACGGGGGGGTCAAATTTCGAGGGATTATTGACCTTCTTTGTACAAAGACCAATATTAAAAGAAATACATACACACACAGTTTCACAATAATATTACGCAAATACTACTTTGATGTTTAACTTACTATACCACTAAAATTACTTACTAATTCGTTCGCGACCAGACCAATGGAAGTTGACGACTGCTCATCAACTTTACTATTTGAAGATCTCCGTCCAGCAGGGACAGAGTTTCCTTTCCCATGAACCTTCAATCCAGCTGCAGAACCAATTGCGTACCCAAGCAAACTAGCCGTGGAGTTGTTGAAACAATGGGAAAAACGTTACACCTTGCACTTGGTCATCCTATCTGTGCCGGTGGACAAAAGGCGCGGAGAGGCATCCCCACCTGCAATCGGAGCGCAGCGACCATGCACCGCCTGCCCCGCCAACCCTCGACCTGTCCGGTCAGAGCGGGCCAGGGGGAGGAACAGGTTTTCTGCGTTAATTTCGTCTTGAAGAAAACTATGAAACAATGAGGATGTCATCCGCTGCCCACGGCCTCGGCCCGCAGCTCGGACTACAGCGAAGGGGTTGCAACTGGCTTTGGTTCCAAGCAGATCTGTCATTTTACTCACCCCTTTCCTATCTTTCCCTTTCCCATCACCATAAGTTATCTAAAGTTATCTAGGCCTTCTCCTTCTAGTAATCGCCATAAAGACACCTGCAATTAAGAATATTTTCCAGGGAGAGCAGGCAGTTATGGCCGACACATCGCCAATAAAAAGTGTACCCCTGTAGGGTTTCCAATGCTTTGAATGGGACTATCCTGTATTTAAGTCTAGTTTGAACATTTTGTTGGCCGGTTTGCGTTTTCTCCGTCAATTCTATCCAGATCTCTTTCACACTGTCACACATCGGCCCGCAGTGTGGCTGCGCTTATAACGGGGTGCGGACAGAACCTGTTTCCCGCTGACCGAAGGATGACCCACCGCTGCGCCTCCAGGTAAAACAATGATCCCGACCCCGACCCGCCGGGAGGCACCCCGGGCGCGGCACCCCGGTGCTGGCTAGGCCACCCGAAGGGTGAGCTGGAGCGGGAGGAGCGGAGCGTTTCGTCGCCTTTTCAGAAATCGACTCTGCGTCCACGACGCGGCGGCTTTGTTTCAGCTCACCTTCGATCGGACACAGCACCCAGGGGCGGCTAGCTTCATGGAAAAGACGGACAGGCAGGCGGGCCTCGGCAGGGCGACGAAGACACGCCGCCAGACAAGACGTCGACGCCGAACCTCGGACCAGCTCGTTTGCCTCGCGCACTGCGACGCGGACGCGAGGACTACCCGCTTCTGAGCTTGGTGGAAATGACCCGGGAGACAGTTTATCAGTAAGTGGGTATGTCGACGATTCGACTTAGGTCCGTTTGCACCGGGTTCACCTCAAAGTTACCCCTGGATGAGGGACGACACGTTCATTTCACCGTATAACAGGTAGT